TCTCTCTTCCTCATCCCTTTTTTTTCTCTCTCCTCATCCCTTTTTTCTGTCTCTCTCTCCTCATCCATCCCTCTTTTCCTCATCCCATTTCTCTCTCTCTCCTCATCCTTTTTTTCTCTCTCTCCCTCATCCCTTTTTCTCTCTCTCTCTCCTCCCCTTTTTCTCTCTCTCCTCATCCTCTTTTTTTTCTCTCTCTCCTCATCCCTCTTTTTCTCTCTCTCTCTCTCCTCATCCCTCTTTTTCTCTCTCTCTCTCTCCTCATCCCTCTTTTTCTCTCTCTCTCTCCTCATCCTCCCTTTTTCTCTCCTCATCCCTCTTTTCTCTCTCTCCTCATCCCTCTTTTTCTCTCTCTCATCTCCCCTCATCCCTCTTTCTCCTCATCCTCATCCCTTTCTCTCTCTCTCTCTCCTCATCCCTCTCTCTCTCTCTCTCTGCTCATATCTCTCTTTCCTCATCCCTCTTTTTCTCTTTCAATGCTTGAAAAATGCCTTTTGGGGAGAGGAATGATTATCTCTTTTTGAAAGAATTCTTTGTAATTTTTATGTCTTGCTTAATTTTAATTTAAATTAATAAATTTAATAAAAGAAGTACAGAAATAAATAGAATTAGTAAAATTAATTATTTTAATTTCTTATGTAATAAAGATATTGAATGAATAATATAATTAAATTTAAAACATGAAGAAATCAGTAAAATTAATGAATTTTAATTTTTAATTTCTGAAGTAATTTCTTGTGTACCTAACACTCCTTTGTGAGCAAAGGTAAAAAACCACATTCTTCAAATATCTTAATGCATCTTGTCTGTTTTAAATCTTTAGATTTTGCCAAGAACTTGTTAAACTATTTGTTTTTTTTTGTTTTTTTTACATTTATTTAAGCTCTTATTTAACACCAAATTCTCATAAACTGAAACCAGCTTTTACAATCTGTCAAGGGATAGTAACTAAATCTCTAAAAAAAAAAAAAAATCATGAAAAAAGGTAATCATTATTTTTCTGTTTCAATTATATAGTTCTTGTTTATAAAGAGATTTAGAAAGCCTGCTTAAATTTAAAATAATGGAAGTAGAAGACACAAGAATTGTTAGGTTTCTCAACTATAAAAACAAAATTCTTACAATTATTATTTTGGTTTCTTTGAGAAACACAAGTTTTGGTTTAATTTTATCAAAGTTACGTTACTAGTCTTTCTATTGTCAGATATAAAATTCTCTTTTAGTTCATCTTACTTAAACAATGAAGGTTGTTTGAATTTCCGATTGTAAAAAGTTGCCTGAAGGAGGAACATAGAACAAAATGCTTTCAGTTTAATGTTTTTGTTCTCATGATCTTGTCTAGATGTTGCTAAAAGCTTTGACCAGACTACACGTTCTTCCTTGGATACTATTTTGACATTTGTATCTTTTAAAAGCAGGATATATTTAAGAATAACCACATGCAATTCTATTTAAATTTTGAGTGGCATGTCATGCTTCTCTTTTGAGAGAATGCTGTTTAATGTTGGTAAAATGAAGTCTGTCTTTAAAATTTCACTCTTGATGTTGAGTGTAACAAATTATCACAAATACATAGATAATATTTCGGTTATTGTTGTTGATTTATGAAAGTTTGAATCAGTCAAATAATTTGTAGAGAGTAAACCAAAAGTCCTGCACTAGTAAAAAGATATTTTTGACTAAGCAATAGCAGCAATTTATTTTCAGATATCTTTTTTTATATTTAGCATTTTCTAGAATGTTTCTTTGACACCGTTTTCATTTGTTAATTTTTGATTATGCTACTTCTTTTCCAATTAGAAACCAAAAATGATTTACTTTTTCTAAACAGTGGAATTCACATGGATATGACATAGCCAAGACGTTTGGCAATAAGTTCAGTTTTGTGTCTCCAGTTTGGTTGCAAGTAAAACGTCGTCCAAGTGGAGCTTATGTTGTTCAAGGAGATCATGACATTGATCGAGGTAAGAATTACTTGGCAAATTGTTTTTTTACTTCATTATTGTTGAGTCTCTTCTCTTTTATATTTTATCAAATATCTTAATCTGAAAAACTGACTTGAAGCTCAAAGATTAGGCTACATAACTATTATTATTATCCCAGTAATTTACTCATTCTGTCAAAAATTGTAGAATATTTTATTAAATCCTTACTGTTATGTTTTCTCATGTGAATCTTAAAATTTATTTTTCCAATTGTTATATTCTTTGCTTTCACAGCATTTTCACCTTCTGGTTTCGTAAACGTCTTGCAATAGTCTTCCAATTTTATAACAAATACACTGCCTCATGGCATTTTCAGTTCAATTAATTTTTTATTATTTTTGCAGTTAATTGAGGCCCTTATTATGAAAAAACAAAAAAAAAAAACTCAACCTTTTAACAGTATCCACTATGAATATGCCCACAATGTATTGGCTGTATTCAGGGATTAAAAATATGTCTACCTTTCAGCAATTTACACACCATTTACAAAAGCACAGCCTAAATTTTTTAAAATGACT